GAGGGGAGGACCGGGAAGGCAGGGGTGGGAGCGAGGGAAGGAGGGACTGGAGGCTGGAGAGAGCGGGGCAGGTAAGGGGCCGAGGGGCCAGCACACAGGCCTCGGAGGGGGCTGAGGAGAAGCGACGGAGGGGAAAGGGTGCCAGAAGGGGTGGGGAGGTGGAAGGTAGGGCTGGGGAAGAGCTGCAGAAACCATTTGGGGGTGGGAGCTGAGTGGTGAGGAAAATACCAGAGAGATAGAGACAGAGTCTTCGGAGAGAGACTGAGAGGGGGAAATGAAAATATAGGGGTGAAGACCAGAAGCCAAGAAGAGCGGGGGGGAAGACGGTGGGGGGCTCAGAGAATGGAAGGGGTTAGGAAAAGAGGAGGATGGAGAGAAGGGGCCAGATGGAGAGAGAGGGAGGCAGTGGGGGGGTGGAGGTCCAGATGGAGGGAAGAGAGGAGAGGGAGAGGGTGGGGGAGGGGAGGCCAGGGCAGGGGGAGGGCCGGATTGTGTGTGTGGGCCTTTTTGGGGGGTGGGGGATACAAGTGGGACTGTGCAATGGGAGTAGAGGCGGTTTAAGATCCTGCCCGGGACTCAAACCCTCCTGGAGGCTCTGGACAAGTGAAATGCAGCCTCTGGGGTCTTAATCTGCTTTCTTCACTTCACCACTTTTAAGCCCCTCCCCCACCCCATCCTTATTTCCATTCCCCCTCCCTTCCTCTGCTGTCCATCACCTATATCTTTCCCCCCATATGGTGTCCGTTCCTTATATGAGTCCCCCTTCCGTCCTTCCCCTGTATCAGTCCCCTCTCTGCTATCCATCCTGCCTCTCTGGCTCTTCTCTCTGAGAGCACCCTTAAACCTATGCCACCTCTCTACTGCTTCGTCTTGACCCCGCGTCTTGGTCCCCTGTTAGGTCCTTCTGTTTCCTCTGCCCCGTGTCTGCTGAGCTCTTCTGGTGTATTCCCGTGCCCCTAGGACTTCACTGCACTCTCTGTTTTCTGTTATTCCCACGCTGTTATTTATCTGCCTTCCCCCGGCTGGTCCTATTTCCTACCCCACTTCCCGTCTTGTCACGGTCTCTATACCCACTCTCTGGCCCTTTACACCCCAGTCTGTCACCACCCCTCTTTCCTTGTCTCCTCCACTTCCTAGGATGTTGGAGATTTAGGGTGCAAAGATACTGAGGTTGATGGCTGGGACAGGAACTATAAGGGGTCCCCATCTGAGCCCTTGTGGGGTGTCTCATTCCAGTACATTTACCGCCTTTATCAGTCATGTTCCTGTGTCCTAGCATCAGCACCATTCTCTCCTAAGTCCAGACTCTGTGTGTGCGCCTGCCTGCCCACCTTGTGCCTGTTTCCAGAGCTGCTCCTAGGTTTCCTGTGTCCTTCTTGCTCACAGGGAAAGGTGGCCCTGAAGTCTGAAATGCTCCCGTTAGCCGCAGCCCGCACCCCTCACACTTACGTGTGTCCACAGACTTTCCCTCTGGGTGTGCAGTGTCTGTGTGCAGTGCCTGCTCTCTCATAGTTTAGGTTTTAGTGATCTTCCTATGCAGTCGGCTTGAGTCTCTGAGATGCCTTTGAGAGAGTGAAAGTTTGAAAGTATTGCGCTTTCTAGACATGTCCCGCGGGTTCATGCTGCTGTGGTGTGCAGGTTGGGCAGATCAGAGGAACATGTTTGTAGACAGAGGCTAGGTTTTTCAAAACTCCTCCGGGCTTTCCACTGGAATGAAACTCAAAGGCCGGTTGTGCGTTATGGCTACGTTAATTATCCGTGTGAAATGTCCCATGATTTTTTTTCCTCTGAACCTTCTACTCTGACACCCTGAGCCGAGTTTCTATCACTTCGCTGTCGGCAGCCTGACTTCTCTCATACTTCCCTGTGACCTGGCCCGATGTGTCCCTGAGATCGCGTGTGGGGGAGGGTGAAGGAGAGGTGGTCTGCGGGAAGGGTGCAAGAACCGCAAAGGTGGGGAAGGGGGGCCCCAGGCCAGATCTGAGCGTGGGTGACCTTGGTCTCCTGTTGCTGTGGTCCGGGAGCTTTGCGCACCCTGTGTCACCCGATATGTGCTGTTCCCTCTGCTCCTCCTTCCTCCGGTTCCTCACTGGGCCTTGGGAGCCTCTGGCCTGACTTCTACCCTGTCCATGGGAACTAGCGGGAGGAGGAGGCTACTGAATCTGTGCTTGCTGAGCATGGAATGGGGAAAGAAATCAGTGTGGTTGGTTGCTGCTCATCAAAGCACGGGGTATTTCCTGCCCTCTCTCACCCCGGCCCCACCACGGCCAGATAGATGCTGACAAAAGCCATCTTTGCCTTCCTACCAGAAGGACCAGAACTTTCCACGAAAGATGAGCAGAGCAGGCCTAGGAGAGGTAGAAGGGGAGATAGTCTCCGACCTCTTGACTCTGTGAACAGTAACCCCCACTTCCTCTTTACCAGATGTTTAGCTCTCGCAGAATCTCATGGCCCAAGTGGTCTTACACACACACACACACACACACACACACAGCCTTCCCTCCCACAGCAGCTTAGGTGTCCTCTTCTAGGTCCATCTTCCGCAGCTATCAGAATCCCAGACACCCGCCACCAACCTGTGTTATTTCTTCTGCCAGTTGTGCTGCTCCCACCTTGACACGTCCCCAAGTGGCCGGACAGTTCCTCTCCCTGCGCTGTCCCCAGTCATGTCCCTCTCTGTCATGATGACACTCCCCCTCCCGTAGTCTCCCCCTTTGTAGTCTTCATGGGTCTTCAGCGCCTCCTGTGATTCCTCTCGCTTCTTTTTCCCCAGATGTAAAGGCTCATCTTCTGGTCCCTTGTAATTGCTGAGGGCACCCTCAACTGCGATCCTCTTAAGGTGGATGGGGCTCCCCTCTTTTTTTTGTCTTTTAGAGACAGGGTCTCACTGTGCAGTTCAGGCTGGCCTTGAGCTCACTTTGTAGCTCAGGCTGGTCTCAAACTCGCAACGATCCTCCTGCCTCAGCCTCTCAATGGCTGGGATGACGGGGATGCACCACCATGTCCGCCCCACCTCTCCCATTTTGTGGACTCTCTTCTTGCCATTGTAGACCTCTGCTCCCAGATTCATAGAGCCTCCCTTACTGTTTCTGTGTCTCTGTCCCCCAGATGTACGGGGACCCCCTATGCACCGAACCCAATACATTCATTCCCCGTATGATCGTCCTGGTTGGAATCCTCGGTTCTGCATCATCTCGGGGAACCAGCTGCTCATGCTGGATGAGGATGAGGTGAGCAGGGTGGGGAGGCTGGGGAATGACCATGGGTAGCCGGGGAGACCGGACGGGGAGCCTCCACAGCGGAGCTGAGAAACTCGAGGAAGGCTGGGGGGAAGCGCAGTGTGCACTGGGAGGAGGAGAGTCCTTCTGTCACTGTGGCCACGGGGTCCTTGAGGGCCATGTTGGGGAGACTCGGCTCTGAAGAGCTGGGGTGAAGATGTGACCTCCTCCAGTGTGGGGCGGGCTAGAAAGGGGAAGGGGATGGGCACCACAAGGGATGGAGAAGGGATGGGGAAATGCCAGCATCTCCCTCTAGATCAACCCTGAGAGGCACCTCCCTGCTGAGCAAGACCCTTCTTTCCCTCTCCTGCTCCCAGTCCTTGCCCCACCATGGGGTACAGTGCAGGGAGGGGAGACTGAGGGCTCCAGGGAACAGGCAGGAGATCCGGGGTCCGGGGTTAAGTGTGAGGGGCAGAGGGTGCCAGGTTTTGGCATGGGTGGCCATGAACACTGGCAGGTCCACTGCACTCAGTGTGGACTGAGAGCCTTCTGCTGGAAAGGGGTTCTGGGGAGGACGCGGGGGTGCAGGGACGACTAGCCAGAGCGAAGGCCAACAAACCAGAGTCGTAGGGGAGGGGTGGCCATGTAGGGAGACCTGAAGGCCAGAGAGGTGTGGGTCCCGATCTGAGAGTGGGGTCCGCAGCAGAGGGTCCATCAGAGGAAATGGGGTGCACGCAGAAGGGCAGATGCCCCCCAGCTGTGCTCCAGCAGGACGCTGATTTCAGGATGAGCTTTAGGAGTGCTGCCCCGGAGAGCCAGAGAGGCGGAGATGTGCTTGGTAACTTGGAGATGGCGCGGTGAGGCCGGGCTGGAACTGGGGTAGGGCGGATCAGTGTGTGAGAATCTTGGGGTACAGGTGAGAGGCTGGGTGGAGCGCTTTCACCCCACAGAGTAAAGCAGAGGGAACTAGGAGAGGACGCGGGGACGCTGCGGGGAGAGGTGGACGGTAGAGTAAGCTCGGGGCGCTGGGAAGCAGCTGAGTGATGCGCTAGCGGCCATCAGCCTTGGCCAAGGACTCGGAGTCTGTGGGCGGAATTAGGAGACCCGGAACCAACAGGAGCAGGGGCTGCTGCGAGGATGGAGGAGGACGGTGGGCCGGGTGATGAGGCCAGGACCGAGAGGTGGGGACCCGCTGAGGAGCCCAGGGGCACTCGCGCGAGGGGCCTCAGGAGTGGGGGCACGGGTGGGTGGAACTGGACAGTGAGTGTGCAGGCGCACAGGGAACCGGATGGGCCGTGGGGCCAGGGCTGGGGGCTGGTGTAGGGCGCCCAGCTCCTGGGGCTCTGGTAGGTGAGGAGGTTGGGATGGAGACGCCCAGGGCAGCCGGAGCTGAGGCCCAGGGGAAGAGAGCCAAGAGGCTGGCTGGGGGTTAAGGGGTGAGGGAAGGAGGCGAGGTTGGGGGAGGTGACCAGGCCCTCCGGGGGGCGGGGAGGTTGGGCCCCAGTCTGGCCGAAAGCCGGGCCGTGGGAGGGAGACAAGCTGTGGCTCCTGATTATAAATGCAGCTTCTGCTGCCCCCGTGACAGCGCGAGGAGGAGAAGGGGGCAAGGGAGGTGGGGGCTGGCAGGGAAGCAAGGAGCATGGGCGAAGGGGAGGTCAAGGGGACGCGGATCCCCGAGGTCGCTGGCTCCGGGGAGTGGCGGGCGCGCTGAGGACTGGGAGGACCCCGAGTGTGAGCGCGGGGAGACGCGCGGGGCGGCCGGGCGGGCCGGGGACAGCTGGGGGCCGGAGCGACGGCGCGGGCCGGGAGGTCTGACACACCCCGCACCCCCTAGATACACCCGCTTCTGATCCGGGACCGGAGGAGCGAGTCCAGCCGCAACAAACTGCTGAGACGCACGGTCTCCGTGCCGGTGGAGGGGCGGCCCCACGGCGAGCATGGTACGGCGGCCGCGCAGGCTCGCGACCTGGCGGGGCGCAGGGGGCGGGGCGGAGGGGCCGGGTCTGCATCTCAAGGGGCCGGGTCTGCATCCCCAGGGGCGACGGCGCCCTCGTCTGGGCTGCGGAGCGGGCCGCGGCCGGCGTCCGAGGCCCCTGCGCGTCCTTGCTCTGCTCCGCTCCCCTTTTCCTCTCCAGCAGCGAAGTTTGACTGCTTTCCCCGTGCTTGTAAAAATAGTCTCAGATCTGTAGCCTCCTGTCCGCGCGCGCCTGCCCTGCCCCTCCCGGCCTCGGCCGGGCGTCTTGGGGAAGGCGACCTAGTTCCTGCCCTCCCCCAGACCTCTGTCCCACCCCCAGTCCCACTCTTCTTCCGAGACCTTCAGGCCTGCGGCCCCTCCCTCTTTTCTTGCCCCGTTTTTCTTCTTCTCATCAGTTGCTTCTATTTTTGCATCGCATCGCCCCCTTTCTCTTTCCTCCCTGATCCCTCTTATTCTCTGCACCCCTCTTGAGCCCCCGTCCCTCCCCGGCCCCCAGCGCCTCCATCAGACCCCGTCGCCTCGCTTTCTGTCTGCGGAGCGCTCCGCTCAGTCTGTCTTTCCAACTCTCTCCCTCTCTCCATCTGTCTCTTCCCCTCCCTCCCCCTTTCTGGCCCCCACCCCCCTCTTTAGTCATTTAAAAAAAGATTTTTGTCTTCCTGAGAAGTTCGCTTAAAAGGGTTTCCATGGGAACAGTGAGGGAGATGAAGGCAGAGAACAGAGATCTGCAGCCAAGGTGCAGAGAGACGCCCTCGGTCCCGGAAACCCCCTCGCCACTGCCCCCTTCCTCTGCATTTCTCTCCCAGGACCTGGGGTCCGGGTCCCCCATCCCTCCAGCCCCGGGCTGACCTCTTTCTCCTACCAGCTCCTCACCCCCTCAGGGATCCAGACTTCCAATTTCTCCCTTAGCCAGTGGCCTGTCCCCAAGCCTCGGTTCCCTCCGGCCGCCTTCAGATGGGTCCAGGCCTCACGGCCCTTGGGGGCCAGCTCTGGACCTTGGGTGGGTGGTCAGGGATGTGTGTCATTGTCATGGAAACCTCTGGCAGTGAGGAAGTGTAGGGTAGCACAGCTCTCTGAGGCCAAGCCTGGTGGTTGTGGTGGTGGTGATGGTGGACAGAGACTGTGATGCCTGTCACATCTGTATGCGTGTGTGTGTGTGTGTGTGTGTGTGTGTACCTGTGCTGTCCATGTCTGGCGCACGAGTTTGTGTGCGCGTGTCCACCTGTGTGCCCAGGTCAGAATGGTCACATGCTCACAGAGCATGTTTACCGTGTGTCCTGTGCTTGGCTGCTCTGCCCACGTATTTTCCATCGTTTCCGTTCCCTGATCTCACAGTCTGGGGTCGCTGGCATGGGTCTCCTGCGTTCGGCGTTGGGTGATAGGGTGGTAGGGTGGTATGTGGAGGTGGAGGTCGCTGTGTGGGGCTTCAGTAGGGGTTGAGCGGGGCGCCAGAGTGGAGATAGATGGATGGATGATAGATGATAGATAAGTAGATGGGTGGACGGATAGATAGATGATAGATGATAGAGATGGATGGATGGATGGATGGATGGATGGACGGATGGATGGAGAGAGAGATACAGATGGAGACTTATGTGGCCAGAGGGCTTATGAGAGTGGCTAGTTGGCAGGGGTCTGCAAAGGGACCTGGAACGTGCGGAGGGCATGCAGCATGTGCCGGGAGCACGGGGGTGGTCGAGGCCGTGGGGGATTGGATCTGCGAAGGTGTCGGCCGAGGGAGGCTGTGGACTTTCCAGTCCGGGAGAGGTCGCCGGACCTTCGAGGGGCATTGGAATCCAGGGCTCCTCCTCTGCTGGGTGGAGCCGCGAACCCCCGTTCCCTCCGCGGTTTTATTGGGGGGGGTCCTGTTCGAGAGGAATGGTGGCAGGCCCGGGTAGTTTTGGGGGTCCCCTTGCCCCCCTCCCCCGTCTCTCTCGCGCTGTCTCCGGGCGACGGGGCTCGTGACAGAGGCGGCCACGGCAGCAGCGGTCGCCTAGCAACGGCGGCGGGGCCCGGGCAACGGCGGCAGCGGCGGGAGCGGCGGCGG